TAATATTTTCTTTTGGTAGGTATTATTCATAACAACTTATAAAAAACAAGCAGTTCCAAACGTCTCACTAAGTAACTTACTCGTATCATAATAAAACAAATTTTGAATTATAAAATAAAAAGATTATATAAATAAACATACATCTTTTTAAATAAATATCATCTATTCTTATTTATTTCTCAATTTCATAACCTATCCTAGATTCCTAGATAGACAACAATTTTTTTTTTTTTAGACAACACATTTCTAAAAATGTTGGCCCGTGATGCCAAAGCGTACATCAAATTTGGCCAGCCGTAAAAAAAGGTTGGAGACCCCTGCCTTAGAAGATCGACTCTCACAAAAAACATTTTTTATTATTCAACAACTATAATTATTAAGAAACATACTAGTATAATGTGTATATAAACATACAATAATTATTATAAACTTGTTACTTATTACTAAAAATAATATAACAATAAATAATAATTTCTAAAATCTAATTACTTAAGTCTAATTAACTTATTATTTTGTTGAAGTGTGGCATTGCATTTTTGTGYGCATTTCCCTAAAAATAAATTCTAACATGAATGACTTGAAAATTGTCCGCGATCGACCGTTTAGCCGCTCCTGATATAAAGCTCAACAATAACATAAGGCATTATGTTTGAAATACGATAGCTATCAAAGATTTGCATATTTTCTTATTTTTTTCAATCATAAATTAACTGAATATTAAATTATGCTTGTTTAATATAGGGGATAGTCAAAGCATTGATTTAATGAATTTATTAATGAAAGAAACAATTGCTTCTAAACATGAAGATAGTATTCTCTGTCACAACACTTCAAACGAAGACGGAAACGATTCTGAAAATGAAGAATTGTCAGAATCTATGATGCAATTAAATGAAAAGTACTTTACACTATTACTTAGCAATATTATTATATTAGTTCTGATTTATTATTCTTTTTTTATGTTATAGTCTATCTCAAAATTCAATAAAAACTAATATTTCAAATCAAACCCATACTAAGGATTTATCAATTAACCCCAATTTTGATGTGGATAATTTCAATTTATATTCATCCGATAATGATCAGTTAATATCAGTTTTTAATAAAATAAAATAATAATTACATAGACTGTTGTCCTTTTTTCAGAACATTTATAGTAAATAATAATGATGAAGAAACAAACAGTAATCAAACAAGTGATATGTTTCGTAGTTCAAATAGTTCTGTTGAAATGAATGATGATAACACATTAAATTATGTGTCTTTCACTGATRTTGATGTTAATACTAGTAGTATTTCAAGAACATTGTGGACATTAAGTTTTAAACCTCCTTCATATGATGATTCACTAAATTTCATTGATACATTTAAAAACACTCGAAACTATAAACAATTTAATTTTCAACATAATAATATTATCGAAAATATCAGAAAGGATCTATTATCATTAAGTTTTCCTGTTAACAATAATACACATTTTTTTGCTTCTGAGAGCAATGTAATTTTAGAACCATTAAAGCAACCACCATCATATTTATTAGCTTTAAAATGGTTAGAAACACGTTATCCAAAATATAAACGTAAAAAAAAAACTGTAGATAGTAATAAACTTAAGAGTCTTATAACTCCAGATTCACTTTCAAAATCAATACTGTTGAAAAACATCAATTGTGTAACACCACATTCTAGTCAAAATAAATTCTATACCTCTTCACCATATACACCAATGCAAGTTGTGAATAAAAGCTTGAAATCGAAAAGAAAACTCAGCACCCTTTTTCTGGATTCATTAAATGTGAGAAAATCCACAAAACTATAGTCCAAAAAAAATTATTCCAAAAATATAAATATACATAAAAAAAATTAT